TATGGGTCAGATTAATGGAGAAAAGTCTAGTAAAATTATGGGAGTTGAAAGATTTCAGGCAATATTTTTACTTAATTTAGATTCGTAGAAGTTGGCAATAATAGAACGCAGTTTATGGAGACTGTTGACTCAGAGGAAATCAAAAGGAAACATGGGAAGCACGTGTTGTCTCACTTTTTCTTATTTTAAGCTGGAGTTGTCTTACTATTTCTTTTTATTTTCTCTTTGAACTTTGTGGAGTTGAAGCATAGAACAAGTAATTAATTTAATTTTAGTGCTTTTTAATAAAATGAACCAAGTGAACTATGCTGACTTCATAGCTATCATAAACAGTTGGGGCTCAGTGGGTCATTGGAAGGAGGATGTTAGCAAGTTTTACATTATGTGGAACATGGAGTAGCTTGCTTTCAATTCAGACACATATTTCCTGTCATCTTACTGGGAGGTATACAGGCACGCACAGGAAAACATGCCCCTTTGCTCAGTATGGTTATAGTGTGTTTTTATCCATCCCGTATGCTTGTGTGTAGTGATACCTATTTGTACAAACTGTAAGATGTAATAACTATATTAAAACAAGAAGTACCTTAGCATGTCTGTACCTGGAACCACTTGCTTCATGTGTAAGCATGAAAACTACCTTGAGTTCAGCTCGCATTGAAATAGGTTCTCTGTCCTAAATCATTGTCTAGCATTGAGATATGCCATTAAACAGCTGCTTTGTAGCACCCAGAGGTGGCTACATTTCAGTGGTAGATGAAGTGATTCTTCTATATAAAGGTATAGAATGTGTTTTGGGGTCCTTTTGGGTGAAAAGATGCTACAAAAACTTGAGTAGAGTTAGGTCTTAGGGGAAGAATACTATATTCATTAGATACTGCAGGAAGCTTTTACAGGGTGTGTCTTTTCTTCTTCCAGTGCTCTGTAACTTCTCCCCTTTAATCTGCCTGATGAAATCCTGACCTCACTGAAGTCAATGGGCGTTTTGCTATTGACTTAAATAGGACCAGAATTTCACCCTCCTTCCATTTCACTTCTTAGGAGTGACAGTACATCCCCCTACATCACATTAATTTTCAACCCATTTCATGCAGGGCTTCACATAACGTTAGCAAAACAGAAGTTAGCTTGTCTTTCGAGAGCAAATGGAGCCAAAGTTTGGGTCTGAATCCAATCATCTCCACAGTACAAGAGGAGTTCAAGCCCAGTGTTCTGATTCAGGCCCATTTCTTTTTATCTGTTCCCAGGGCCGGCTCTGGCTTTTTTGCCGCCGCAGGCAAAAAAGCCTCCGGCCGCCCCCCCCCCCCCCCCCGCGGGAGGGGGGGCGGAGGGTGGCCGGAGCCCTGGGGGGAGGGCGGCCGGAGCCCCGGCGGGGGCTCCACTCTCCCCCCGGCGGCCGGGGGGAGGGCGCCGGGAGGGAGGGCGGCGCTCCGCTCTCCCCCCGGCGGCCAGAGCGTAGGGGGCAGGGTGGCGAGAGGGCAGCGAGCCCCGGTTGGGGCTCGCCGCTCTCCCCCCGGTGGCTGGGGGGAGGGCGCCGGGGGGGAGGGCGGCCAGAGCGCCGGGGGGAGGGCGGCGAGCCCGGCCGTGGCCCCGCTCTCCCCGGCAGCCGGAGCGCCGCGCCACCCCTCTCCAGGTGCCGCCCCAAGCACAAGCTTGGTGGGCTGGTGCCTGGAGCCGGCCCTGTCTGTTCCTTGTCTCAGCTAGTTCAGAAACCAGAAGTTCTTGATACTTGGTTGAGGTCTCTCTCGTATGTTACAGGACACCTTTAACTTGACAAATAAAGATGCATCATCATGCTTGCATTTCATACTTCTTTTGTGTTTGCTTCTCTGCCTGGAGACCTGCAGCAGTAGATAAGGGGTTAAAACCTCCTCATGGCTCTCCCAGTTACCCCATCAGGACTGTTTAAAAATTAGCTTTTCTCCACTTAGGGCAGTATAATTAGGATACAGTAGTTGTGGGAAATTATTTCACAAAGTGACTGCATGCGCTTGTCCATGCACCCTAGGGAGCCATGCAATTATGCATACATAATTCTACTCTTTGAATATTTTCTCTTTCTCTGCATAATTTCTCTCTATTCATCTTTCCAGTGTCCTTCTGAGATAAACTTAGAAGTCTCCTCTTTTGGAATTTAAAAACAGATCCTATGACTACATCTTCACTATTTGCATTTAAACCAGAAGCAGTTCGTTGTGGGGAAAGTACAAAGGCAAGCAGGAAAAGACCTTAAATAAAGTAACACCATCACTGTACTCAACACGTTCTGAAGGTAGCACTGAAAAAATATTGCATTCTTATTCCATTACCAGGAGCACTAACCCTGAGCTTTCTAACTCATTCATTACCTAGTCCTTGCTCAGAACTCCCATTTTCCTTCACTAGGAGTTTTGCCTGAGTAGGGACTTGGTAAAGATTTATCAGTTCCTGGCAGAGTTGAGATTGGAACCCTGTGCCTTCTGCTCTAAAAACATGCCTCTAGCTTTGACAGAAATAGCTGGGGGTCATTGTTCTTTTCCTTGGGCCAGCCCCAGAAGGCAGTGTCACACTCACTCAGTTGTACACAGTTGGCATATTAGATGTGTAATAATTCAGAAATTAAACTGCTATCTTGTGAAATTCCAGGTTTTATTGCATAGGAAAATGTCCACGGTTTTCATGATACTTGGAATGGTGACCCCAGTTTTAAATCCATAGCCTAAACTAGTTTTCTTCATTTCAGCATGTGAAAGCTCAAATTCATACTTAAAAAATGGATATTTGGGTGCCTAAATTTGAGGTTGAGAGCCCAGATGGAGAGTTAGGCTGTCTAAATGAAGTGTCCTTGTTTGATGTTTGTGCTCAGCATATGTGAGTGTGTAATACTTAGGTTATGCACCCTCATTGTCTCTAGAACAAACACCCAACAAACCAAACAGCTTTGGACCTTTGCCTAAGAATGATCTAGATTTATTGCATGCTGTGGGCCATACTCTTCGGTTTGAGCCTCAGAATTATGGGAACTGACCTTTTAAGTGCATCTGTACCTTTTATCTCTAATATCCTCTTTATGTTGTTCTTGGAGGATTTATTGCAATGTGATAAATAAAACACAAGGTAACTTCCAGCATCTTTCTACTCTCTGCACAGCCAGTTTATCTTTATAAACTTGCTACTGACATGATGCAATTTCTCCCTGTGCTGTATACCAGTGAAGTTGTGATAAAAGACAACTCGTTGAAGGGATTCTTTGTCATACTCCTGAATCGTATATAATTCCCTTTTTCCCCCAGTGCCGGAAGTAAGCTGATGCTTTGCAATTATACTCACACTTGATTTCATTTTTTCCTCAGTAATTCATGTTCCCTATTGTACCCTCACTCATTCTCAGTCTTTCTCCCCCCCGCGCCTTCCTCTCACCGCACTGAAGCTGTAACTGCTTCACTGTGGTCTTAGGAGAAGATAGTGTTCTACTTCCCTAAGAAAGCTCATTGTGTGGTGTCGTGAAAAAAGGTTTAAACAACACAAGGGAATAAAGGCACCACGTTTCTCTGAACATTTTTTTTTTAAAAGGAATAATATATAAGCTGCTAGGAAAGGGCAAAAATGTCTCCTGCTCCTCTATAGTAATGTCTGTGAGGCTGTGAATTTCTAAGGAAATCTGCTTTTTACATACAGGACTGAAAGCTAGACTACCCCACCTCCAAACCTTTGCAAGTCTCTGTGTTAGTCTCATAAATCTAACAATAAATCATAGGATTTTTCACCAACTGCAAAAATCAAAGCTCTCGGTGAAGTAGCATAATTGCTTGATTTTTTTTTTTTTTTTTTTTTTTTTTTTACAGACTACAGCAGTTTTTAGGCAAGAAAGTCAAATGATCCAGATGATAACATGTATAATACCTTTTAAACAGAGAGGGGCATATTCTGCTCTCAGTTACGTTGGTGTCAGTGGAGCTACTCCAGTGTTACACCAGTGTAAACTAGAGGAGAATTTGGACCATAATTTGCAATAGGCTTATTGGAACCAGGAATGGTTGTAGTAGGTTGGAGGGGGCTTTAAATTGATGCAACATTTGATTTTTCTCTCTTTGTCTGAACTTTGTATGTCTATAGTGTTGCAGCTTAGAGTGATAAATAGCAGTCCAGCCGTGTGTTGGGGTCAGTGGATAAACTGAGGAACTGTAGCATACAGTTTGACAGGTGACAATTGTTCACCGCTAGGCTTTAGTCCAAGTCATGCATCCTCACTAAAGCAGTTCCCTTTAGTGGAAGCAGGGAGGAGAGTCTTGATTTGTAATTTATATACAAGAGTTAAAAAGGTGAAAATGAGGGTGAACAATAAGGGTCTGTATAGGATGGTGTCAGTTTTTGACACTGCAGCTTGGCATAATTTAATGGCACCTGGGAAAATAGCATAATTTACTTTTCACCTTATGAAAAGAAGAAATGACACCAAGAAATGTTACTCCAAAGGTTTGTTTCTTTGTATGCGAATAACTGCTCTTCATTAGTACCTATATCCATAGTTTACTCTAATAAATCAGATTAGAAGGGGCACTCTCTGGTTAAAAATCTGAACCCCTTAGATAGATTTTAAAACTCTTTCAGGTTTAATAATCTAATTTTCTTTTCACTGTTGAGGCTCATTGATTACTTTTTGCACTTCACTGATCTTGGACAATGAATATAGACCAGTTCAACTTTTGATTCTCATCAGTTTCTAATCCGTGTTACTTTCTGGCTCTCATGCACTAGCACAATGCTGCATTTTTCAGGTTGAAAACACTGGGGGGAAATTTAAATTAAAAAAACTGTTTTAATTGAAGCTAATAAATAAAAAATAAAGTGTTCTCTTGATATTAGGCTTTGTAAAAACCTGATATTTATTAAGCCTAAATTTTGGATTGAAATTTATTCAAGAGTGTCTCTTAAACATATTACTACTACTAATACATGTACAACTTGCTTCTCTTAATAAATATACATGGTGCAATCGTAAGGATGTTCGTGTGAAGCAAAGATGTTCTCCTTAGTGTAAAATTACAATATTATTGATATGTTTGAAATAGCATTGCAGCTATTTACATGTGAGCTCTGAATCTTGTTTACCAACAGTATTTTGAATGAATATGGTGCCTTCTATATGATTATATTAAATTTCTTGATAAGCAATTAATCCTCAATATGAGGAAGGGAATTAGTATTAGCCACATTTTACACATTAGGAAACTACAGTACACAGAGGTAGTGACTTGACTAAGGTCACAGAGGAAGTACAAAGCAGGAATAGAACCCTGATCTCCCAGTCTCATGTCTTCATCAATCCTTCTTCCCAACTTTGTCTAAGGAAGGCACAAGAGCTGCAGAAATATCATCAGAACTTGAACCAAGTAATTGGAGATTATACTGCAATGAACTCTCCATGTGTGCATGCATGACACACACTTACACAGGAGTTTATAAAATGGGATGTTATACTCAGCAGTGAATAGGTCTCACTCAGTCTGTGGGTGTAGGGAGGTGGTAAAGTATGGTAGTGATTGTGGGAGTTTAAATACATTGGGCCAAGTCCTGTGATTAATCCCACCAAAGCCAATGGAGGAGATGCTGTGGTCAGTGGTATTATTTGAGTAAGCGCAGCAAGGGTTGGCTTGGTGTGTGGCTATTTGCTTAGCATGGTATTATCATCAGAAAATATGGAAGGATTTTAAAAAAATAATCCCATCCAACTATTAAGTTTGCGTTTGATCTTGGCAGTACCTCTGCAAACCCAAATAGTGATTGAGGGAGAACAAGCTGAATAGCATCATTTAAAGAGGGAAATACTAACTTGCCTAAGATGTCGCATTAATTAAGAGATGGTTATAAAAGTGCAAAGCCCATTATAGTGAGTTGCAGCATCTCCAACTAGACTATAAAAAGTACTTTCTGTGCTGAATCTTGGCAAGCAGGGGCTCTGCCTGGGAAAAGATGCTTGCTCACTGTTCAATTTTACAAAATATAAATAAATTCAGACTTAAGTTTATTATTAACTGCCTTGATCAGGTCCTTTGAGGAGAAAAGTCTCTCTCTAACCTCTGATGTTATCTGTCCAAGGTTGACCATGGGCCTCAGATCATCTCTTCAGCTTCTTTGCTAACAATGTTGTTCTTTAAAATATGGACCCAGACTACTGGCACTTCAGTTTCTTCAATGTCTTCGAGATGTTCCTCATTTTCATTTTGCTCTTTGACCTGTTTATCTAGGTTTGTTGTGCTGTTTTCCCAAGTTAGACTTACATACATACGCTGGAAACTCACCAAGTAGTTGGCGTATCTGCTGCATATATGTAGTGTAATGTAGTTAATGTGTGCATCACACTCACACACACACACTCGATACACTGGGAACAACTCCCCAAGTAGATGCGTTTGCAGTCCAGCCTTCTAGTTACTGTTCCAACTGCTTGCTGAGTTTCCAGGGTACCTGCTCTATATGTTATAGATGTTCAGATGTCAAAAACTTCCTTCTTTTAAGCAGAGAGGGTTCTTCCTTTTCATGCCACATTCAGCTTTCCAAAGGCTTCTCTCTCCATCTTCCCAGCTTGAAATAGCATGTATCTGTTTTAAGTAATACAAAAGAAGTTACCTCCAAGCCTCCATGGAAGTTGGCTAGTTTGTTTGTTTGATTGATTGATTGATTATATCCCTCTAACCTTAGAACATTTTTTATGTTAAAATTTGTATTCCACAAGCAGTATTCCATTATGTGTGTCCATTATGTTAAACCCACAAGTCTGGCTTCTACCAGGATGCTAGAGGTAACTGCCTATTGATAATATCTAGTTAGATAGTAGGTAGAGATTATGGATATTTATTTATTTTGTTTTTATTTGCTTATTTATATATTTTATCTAATGTATTTAAGTGACCCAAGGCAATCTAACTTTGTACATTTCCAGTCTATGTAACCACATGTTCCTATCAATGTTGCTGTCCCGCTCTTTCCCACGTTTCTTCAGATTGTGTGTTACAGCATCTGTTGCATCTTGTCATAAATTAGACTGTAGAATCTGCCCAGCAGGGATTGTCTCTTACTGTGTGTTTATACAGCACTAGCACAACAGGGCCCAGATCCTGTTTCGTGTTTCTAGGTGCTACTTTATCACAGTCATAAGCGGGAGTGAAGAAGGGATGGGCAAGAAATTAAATGGCTGAAGGTATTTAACTGGGAGTACAAGGTAGGGAGCTAGGCCTCTCCTGCATTTTAATCCCAGCTTTGACACTGACTTGCTGTGTGGCTTTAGGCAAGTCAGCCTCCGACTCAGTTTCCCTGTTTGTAGGATGGGTTAATTATATTTACCTATATACCTTAGAGGAATGTTGTGGGGATCTGTTATTTTAAGCCTGTACAGTACTTTGAAGGGCCAGGTACTATTAATTTTGAAAAATAGCTAATCCAGCAACTGCCTTTCAGATAGATTCCCTAAGGATTTTACTGGAGTATTGATGAGTGAGGAGAATAGTGCAAAACTGTTAGAACACGTGACCCTGCTTCAGCCATGGCATCACCTGTCACAGTGACTTCAGTAGGACTATTCACATGTTTAACTATGTGTTCTTGAATGTTTTGCTGTACTGGGGCCTTAGTGAGTGCTCGAGTATGATAGACTTCACCATGCAAATCTGGTTCTCTTATCCATTATCATCAGTCATCTGATTTTGAAAAATGCAATTTTAACACACATTAATAGATGTTTAAAATACTTTTTAGCACATCAGTCACTAAATCCTCCTTTCTGTTATCAAAATTGGTTCTGGTTCTGGAATGGGATTAAGTGATAGACATCAAAATTCAACATATTTTTGTCATTTCTCCAGTTGCCCCCTCAGTATAAGGGGATAAAATGGAACTGTATTTTCAGCACAAACAATGAACATAAAGTTGTCATTGCTCAAAGCATTTCCTCTGGAATTTAGCATGGATTGACAATGGTTTCTACTATTCATTTACTTTTCTGAACATTTTGAGTGATCACAAAGATTTTAAGAAAGGTAGAAGTGCTATATGCTTATGTTTGACTAAAAAAGAAAAATTCAATATGGAGTTTTCTGGGAAGGAGTTTTACTTCTCTGAATGCATAATGTGAAATCTGGACACTGTGATAACTAGGACGTGCCAAAGGCAGTCAAACCAGAGTTCTTTTTTATCACAATACTCTTTGATTAAGATCATTATAGCAACTGGTAGCAACACTACGGTTAAGATTGAGTTGGCATTTCTATTTCATTGGGCTGCAACGCAGTGTTCAAGCTGTCAGCCCAGATGCAATTTTTAAAAAAAATTCATACAAAAATGGTTTCAATCCATTGAGCTATTTTAGAGTTGAATTTTTTTAAAGGGTAGATTTTTAATCTGTTCTAGATTTTATTTTATTTTATTTTTGGTTTGAATAGAAAGCTTCTAAATGTTAAAAACTTGAAAATTTTCAGGAATGTATTTCTTTAAATAAGCTTCAGTAAACCATTTTAAAAAAAATAATGATGATGATAATTATTATTTATTAGTTGTAGTATGAAAAAATACACAGGCAGAGAAAAAGGATTTGGTCCTTTTGTGCAAAATGGAGATGGTATTTTTTTTTTAAAATGTACAAAATCTAATTTGAAACGTTATCAAAACATTTTTTTAATTTATTTTGACTGTCAATAAAAACAGGATGAATTAAATACATTGTCCTGCAGTTTTAGATCCCCAAACATAATGACAGCGTGCTAAGGCATGAGACTAGAAAGTGAAACTGACAGTCTGAGTTTCACTGAACTAAGTGAAATGTAAAAAGTAAATAAACTGGATAAATGTTTAAAAGTAAATAATACTATTGTCAACTGCCAGATCATTCAAAAATCATGAAATTTAATCATAATTTTTTTTTAAATACATTTTGGGTACTTATTATTTGCCTTCTGTTTTTTTGAGCCTTTAAGGTTACACTTGGGTCATGTGTTCATGCTTTTCTCTGCAGCCACAAGGACTAGAAATGTACTTTTTGTTTTAAAGGAAAGATGTGATTCTCATGTAACTGCTTGACTCCAGGAGCTGGGGCTTTAAATGCAACACGAAATATGAAACTTACGATAAAATCAAGAGAGCTAATAATACTAAAATTAGATACTTAAAAATCTTTCACTTCTGTAGTATTGTTAGATTGTTAAGAGGTGAAAAAACTGAAATACTTTGTGAGTTACAAGTTGACAGCAACCCTTTAAATCCTAGCATAAATTCAGCAGTACTTCACCTCTCATACCCAATCATATCTTAAGAGTGAGAGTAAGGAGGTCATTTCCCCCACAAGCTACACAAAGAATACATAAGGGGGACATAGTAATGAAATATTAGCATATCAATGCAATGGGGAGCAACAGCTGGGTAGAACAGAAATATACTCTGATAGCACAGTAATAGCAGTGACCTAATGCCGCTGAGCCACTTCAGCCCAATGATCCAGTCACCATCGAGAGGAAATACTGCTTGCTGAAAGGAAAAGGAAGAAAGCCTGTCAACATACTGGAGTTATTCTTTGGAGATGCACCATGTGTGTAGGGTGACCAGATCGCAAGAGTGAAATATCAGGACACATTGGGTGAGCGGGGGGGGAGACAGACAGACACAGGTGCACAGCCCCGACTGGAGCCAGAGGCACACTAGTCCACCTGGCACTGTGGTACCAGCATGCCCCTTCCTGTTGGGGGTGGGCCCATGCTGCGCCACACAGCTCCCCTGCCCAGCGCCCCCTGGATCTACTATGCCCAGAGCCCCCCTATAGCCCTTCCACCACAAAGGCACAGTGCTGTGCGCACACACCCCGCCCAGTGCCCCCCTGCCCACAGCCGCCCAGCACTCAGAACACAGAACCCCACTCGCAAGTTTCCCAATACACACAGATTTTCCCTCCCTCTCTTCCTTCCTCCCTCCCTCCCAGTGCCCTTCCCCACAGCTGCACCACCACGACTACACAATGCCCCACACAGACCCGCACTGCCCAGTGCCCTGACACACACAGATCTCCCCCACTGCCCAGCACCCCCTAACAGGCCTCCACTGTCTAGCACCCCAAAACACGCATACCTCCCCCACTGCCCAGCACCCCCCACACCCTCACAGCCCAGCATGCCACACACACTTCCCAGAGACTCACTCCACCACACCCTGCCCCCTTCCCTGGCCGCACTCACCAGCCCTGCTGGGAGGTCTCTGGCTCCTAGGGTGAGAATAGCGAGGGGAGTCTCCAGACTCTCCACGTGCTGCGCCCACCACAAGCGCGAGCTCCGTGGCTCCCATTGGCCGGAAAAGGCGCCAATGGGAGCTGCTGGAGCCGCAGAGCGGGGCTTGCAGGCACCGCAGCACGCAGAGCCCCCCTACCCTAAGAGCCAGAGGGACCTGCCAGGGGGCAAGGTGGGGAGTCCCAGCAGTGCTCACCTGAGGTGGCTCCTGTCCCGGGAAGCATCCGGCAGGCTGGTCCCCATGGCTCCTAGGGTTGCGGGTCAGGTGGGGGGGTGGAGGGCTCTCTGCTCGCTCTCGGCGCCTGCCGGCGGGCAGGTACTGGGAGCTGCCCCAGGAAGCGGTGAGCGGCAGCGCCGCGGCTGTGGTCCAGACGGTCCCCAATATTGGGACAAAGAGCGTCCCGACCGATGTAAGGTCGGGACTCGGGACAAGTCCCCTAAAATCGGGACTGTCCCAATAATATCGGGATGTCTGGTCACCCTACATGTGACACTTGTATTCAGTACTGTATGGTAGTGTACAAGGGCTTGGCTACACAAGGAAAACACAGGACAGTTAATCCAAATTAACTAAAGGTGTGAATTAAAAGTAGACTAATTAGAGTGCATTAAACCCCTGTGTGGACAATCTGATTCAGAATTAAAGTGACCTTAATTTTGGGTTAGTTTTAAATTATACCAAATTAAGCTATACCAGCAAACATGTGTAGTGTTTGACCTAAGATTTGATCCATTGTAGCCAATATTTCTTTGATGCCAGTAAACAGGTTCAGAAGAGTAGCCTTGTCCCAAACCATGTCATAGAAGTATTGTGATTCTTGGCAACTCTGTGAGTCGGTATCCTCCCCAGCAAAATGGAGATAACATCCCTCTAAAAGGCGTTTTATGCAGATTAATTAGTTAGAGCCCAGTTTGTTCCTGAGTGCTGCATGAGGAAGGGACACTCTGATCTCCTTTGGCCCATGAGAAAGGGCAGAGGCCAGCTATCTCCATAGCACATTCCACTTCTTTCTGGGGCCCTGCAGAGTACTCTCTGTGGGGTTTGGAATGCACGTAGGAGGGCAGGGCAGATCCACACCTCTCCCTACAAACCATTGGGAATCTGCAAAAGGTAACACGCTCTGAGGCTGTACCGCTATTTATCTGGAGTCCCTCCATGCTGAGGAAGCCTCCTTAAAGGGGAGTTTGTAGAGGAGGCCACCTCTTTGCGGTTTTCAGGCAGCATTTGGAGCACACTGCCAAGTTGCAGGAGAGGGGATGCAGACGTACAGGGCCTCCATGCAGATTGCAATATTCCTCTGGCAGATCCCCAGCTTCTTTGGCAAGTTGCAACCCTGTATACCCCCAACACAAGAATTTGAGGAAACTCAGTGTGAAGGGAACCTCAAATACTTTTCCTTCCCCAGACTCTCCAGCTATGGGTTTACCATGTGGGGTATACATCGACTTTTATGGCCAGGCAAAAGATCTTTTCTGGGTGCATTTTACATCTTCATTTTAAATATATGGTGGCCACAGATCTGCACCCCTGACTCTCTAATTTGTGCCTGTGATTAGGTAGATTGAAGCAAAAGTACCAAGATCGGTGCCCGCTATTCAAGTGTGGGTGCAAAATCGTGGGTATCACAAAAACTCACTTTTCTGAAAATATTCCCCCACTGCTTTGAAAATGTAAAACATTCTTTATGTTCCTAAGCATTATAATGATGGATGGATGAGCAGCCTTCTAGAATCTCACAACACATAATGGCAGAAAATGTCGAGGCACAAGTGGGCAAGATGAAGATTCCAGAGCAAGAAACCTTAACTCAGCATTTCCTTGGTTTTCTCAGTTTCTATCTCAGTGCTAATGTTATTTTAATATAGTTACATAGCTTGATTTACCATGATTAGCATAGCAATTTGCAACACATTCTTCAAAATTGCCAATCAATTTGAGCTCAAAATAGATGAAAGTCCCACATAATCGGCTGCTACCATCCAAAAAAACAGTTCTGAAAATCTGAATGAGGACTTGAGTTGTTTGTACAGTTTTTTGTGTAACCTGCAACGGCTACCATAATATCCTCAAGGCCTCTGCCTCACAGGCCTTTTAATTGAGGATAGGTGAATAAAAAGGTAAGCCTAAAAGGCAGTATGAAAAGATCGAGGTATTGTATGGATTTTGTTAAATCCCTTGAAGTGCCTTGATTCTGGGTGAGTGACTGGGTGAATGCTGCCTCTGAAAGAGCTTTCAAAAACTCACCTGGTGAGAAAGCTTAATTAAAAATACAGCGTTGTGAGCTTTCTATCCCTGCTTCTTCACAGACTTTTTGCTGGTAGGGTCCTCTTTCGGCTGCCATGGTACCAGAGGTAGTTTCTTTCACACCTCTCTTTTCCCAGCAGCAGCAGTAGATATTTATGGGGAGCTTCTTGGGCCATGACTATCCTAACAGGGACTATAAGAGCATAGGTATGGTGCTGTAGCTATGCCGACATAACTCTGTAGGCCTACATTGACTTTTCTTCCCTTCACTGTAGGAATACCACTTCCCCAAGTGATGGTAGATAGATTGATGGAAGCATTCTTCCAATGACCTAGCTGTGTCTGCCCCATGGGTTAGGTAGCATAGCTACAGCATTCAGGGATGTGAATTTTTCACACCTGTCAGCATCATACCTATGTTGACCTAAATTTTAAGTGTAGACTTTATAGGCCTTCTCGTGGCTCTTCTCTAAGCCCTCCTACAGTTTATCAACATCCTTCTTGAATTTGTGGACACCAGAACTGGACACAGTATTCCAGCAGCAGTCTCCTCAGGGCCAAGTGCAGAGTTAAAATAATCTCTCTACTCTTACTTGAGATTCCCGTTTATGTATCCAATGATCACCCTTTTGGCCACTGCAATGGAAGCTCATATTCTTTTGTTAGGTCTTAAATATGTGCACGAGCCATATAAAAACATCTAGTTAGAGTTTAGAAGCTGGATTTTTTTGGTCCAGATTTGGCCATTTGCATTAGTGGTGATTTCTCGATCTATGAGCTACTCAGTAATGCACCACAGTACAGCTGCACCACACAGCCACTTCTCAGGTGAGTTTTCATCATGAGACTAGAGGTTAATGGCCTGATTCGTCCCTACCTTGCACCTTGTGCTGTCACATTACAAACATCCACAGTTACCTTGTGTCATAAACATATAGCTACGGGTAGCATAAAATCCCTCCTTTATCTGTAAAGGGTTAAGAAGCGCAAATAACCTAGTTGGCACCTAACCAAAAGAACCAATAAAAACCCAAGGGTCTGGTCTGTGCTCACCTTGTTTACTCTCAAGCCTCCCCAGGAAAGGGGGTGAGGGGGCTTGGGGGGGATATTTTGGGGAAACAGGAACTCCAAGTGGTTCTTTTCCTAAATCTTTGTCTAAATCACTTGATGGTGGCAGCAGTACTCATCAAAGGACAAAAAAAAATTGTGCCTTCGAAAAGTTTTTAACCTAAGCTGGTAAAAATAAGCTTAGGGGGTCTTTCATGCGGATCCCCACATCTGTACCCCAGAGTTCAAAGTACGAAGGAAACCCTAACACCTTGTTACCTGACTGAATGGAGAATTCTCATTTGGTGGCACATTTGTAAATGACAACATAAAAGTACAAGATGATGGAGGCCCCTAATGTTTTACTCCATCCATCAAAGGTTTCCTCATCTTGAAACTAGTGTCATGCAGCCAACCTCCCATTAATTTAACAAAGGGTCCCACAAAAATGTTCCTGTGATAAAATTCTGTTTACATAATGGCCTGATCTACATATTAAACTATTGTGAGGATAAATTAGTTAAGGTTGGTGCGGTGCGTTGGAAATGAACTGTTAGGTAGTGTCATGTGTACGGCTGTTATAAAATGTTTGCTGCATATTAGGGCTGGTCTACACTGGGGGGGAGGAATCGATCCAAGATACGCAACTTCAGCTACGTGAATAGCGTAGCTGAAGTCGAAGTATCTTGGATCGAATTACTTGGGGTCCAGATGGCGCGGGATCGATGGCTGTGGCTCCCCCGTCGACTGCGCTACCACCGCTCGCTCTGGTGGAGTTCCGGAGTCGACGGTGAGCACGTTCGGGGATCGATATATCGCGTCTTAACGAGACGCGATATATCGATCCTGGATAAATCGATTGCTACCCGCCGATACGGCGGGTAGTGAAGACGTACCCTTTGTAGCAGTTGTCTGAGTCCCTGGACACATGGAATTATCCTGGCTACCCTCCCATTCAGAGCCTTCATCTAGGAGTCACATTCCTTCTTCCATAATGCCCGTTTATACAGAGCAATACAAGTTTGGGAAGAGGGGGGTGGGGGAAGCAGTAGTTTGACTGTGGCTCCAGTGTGCTCTTTGTTGGAGGATTACTAATGCTCAGTCACCAGGTAGAATCAGCCTTATTGGTCTGTGTGTCATGATTACTCTGTCTTTGAAGCACAGGCACATTTTCCTCACAAACGTTTAGTCTGCCTTGTCAGAATCTACAAGCTATTCTAGCAGATTCAGTTTTATTGCAGATGATGAGTTAACCAAGATCTTATTTTGTTTTTCCAGGGGAACCAGCATGTAACCTTGAATTCACAATTAGTTTAACATTTACTAGGTTGCTTTCAGTTTGTGTTTGATGCTATCTCTACAGAATTCTTTGTGAGCTGGGGCTCAGAACTTCCTCCAGCAGTAAGAGGGGATTAAAACCATTTTTAAAAGCATCTTTCACTTTGTTTTTAAATTTATTTATATATTTACAATCCCTATGTTTGCGTCAGTGCTGTTGACTTACCTAGAATACTGTTATAAACCCAATGCAAAGTCTCTGTGAGATTACTTCTTTGCCAGCCTTAGAGAAAGCTCAGCAGAGACAAATTAGTTAGTTTTCAGCCAACATGCAAAAGCTTGCTTTGAGTAAAGCCAAATACTTAGAAGTGGGAAATGACTTGCAAGTGTAGCAGCGGCGATGTAAGGCATATACAGTACATGCTTCATCTTTCTATTCCGTCATTTCTTGCTCTGCACCAATACTGTGTGCATGGATCCAGATTTTTATTTTTACTGAGGGATGATTCTTTCGCTGCCTTAAGTGAATAAAGCTGCGATGTATTAACTAATGTCGGGCACGGCGCATTTATCAATTTATCTTTGCTGTGGTGTTGCCTGTAGTATTTTTTCCTCTGTACTCTAAACACTGTTAGTGCTGCAGGCAGAACCAGAGTCCTTCTAATGAAACAATTACAGCACTGCTACTCAATATGCAAAGACTAACACCTC